GGCCTCACCGCCCCCCCCCCCCAATGTATCAATGTGTTGATCTGTTCCTAGGCAAAGGGAGACAAGGAAGCTCCAGGAACACCTTGGTACCTCTTCCCCACCCCCACTCTTTGGGCTGCTGTGCTCCAGCCAGAGCCTCCGCTGCTCCTAGCACTGCCGGTCTGCCCCAGCCTGGTGCACACAATCCAGAGGAAACCAGCATTTTCAGAGATCACATTCTTTCCCCCAGGGAGCTGGGAGACTTTAGAACTAAAATCTCTGTGCCTCCATCTTTCTGGGACTACCTACCTGGAGGGAAACCAGGACAGGTTGAAGAGCGGCAGGTGGAAGGAAGCAACAGGAAGGGTCTTCGCCCAGTCCCCCAAGGGGCCACAGCTCCCAGCTAACGGGACAGAATTGAAGAAGGGGACAGGGAAGTCGCAGCCACCTAGGTCACAGGTCCAGTGGGAGTTCCACGCCCTGCGCTGTTCAAAACCCAGAGATCACAGGAATAACACGCCCCCTATGACACAGGAGGGATGCTCTTGACCCCTCGACTTCCTGAGTCCTCTCCAGGAGGTGCTTCTGCCAGCACAGTCTATCCTAGAGAAATGGGGCCCAGAGAGGGGTCTACCCAAACAACAAGACAAGAGACAGAGGAGATGCCTCAGTGACCAGGGTGCTTTCCTGCTGAACTCAGCAATAAAAAGCAATAAGCCAAGGGAGTGGGGTGCTGAAGCCCAGCTCTCCTGAGCCAACCCCTGAGGAGAACCTCTCCCCAGCCCTTTTCTGAAATCCCTAGTGTCCTGTCAGCTCCATGCCCACAGCAAGAACTGGTGCCACTCAATCCCCGGGCATGCTCAGAGCTGAGAGGGAATACACCTGGGTGCGTGAACCATTCAGAGTTTGATTTGCCAAAAACTCCCATGCTGGGGGAGGGGGCTGGAGACAAGGTATGTGGCAGGTGTTTATGTAGAAAAAGATGTGGCAGTTCCAGGCCAGGGTTGAGCTCCCAAGAAGCAGTAACAAACGAAATGAACATTTACAGTCTGTGTTAGTGGAATTACAGTGTCTAGAATAGGACAATGCCTGGATGGACGTCAAGTGAAGGCCAGGCCCGGGTGCTGCTCTTGGCCATGGCTCAGGTAAGAGTTCAGAGGGATGCTGGGAAGAATCAAATGCAGACGTGAATAACACCAGTCATTAAGCATTTACTGAGCACCTGACTGTGAACCAGTTGCACGGTTCACATTGGGAGGACATTTTCTTATTTGACTCTTGCAGTCATTCCTGGAGGGAGGGACTGTTATTATCCCTACGTGACAGATGAAGAAACAGATGACAAATGGCCAGATGGTGCCACCAAGTCTCAGGGATCAGCACCCTTGGTCATGTGCAGGCTGGGTGGAGAGGAGAGAGGATTCTGAGCTGGTGATCCTGTCATCCTGAAGGGCTTGAACAGACTGAATAACAGACTGGTGAAGGGACCATGGAGGACACATACGTGCTGTGATTCCCTCTAGTTGTGACGATTAATCCATTTCTTAAGATTCACTTTTATGGGGCTGGAGAAATGGCTCAGTGGTCAGGAGCACTGACTGCTCTTCCAGAGGACCTGGGTTCAATTCCCATCACCCACATGGCAGCTCACAACTGCCTCTAACTCCAAGATCTGACACCCTCACACAGTTACACATTCGGGCAAAACCCAGCGCACATAAAATAAGAACAAAAGAGTAAAAAGATTTGCTTTTATGTATGTACTTGAACGTCCAGGGTATGTGCACCTGTGTCCACAGAGGTGGGGAAGAAGGTGCCGGATCCCCTGGAGCTGTAGTCGGAGGCATGTGTAAGCTGACCAACAGGGATGTTGGGAACTGAACTTGGCTTTGCTGCATGACCAGGATGTGTAACCGCCAAGCCATCTCTCAGTAACAAATACCCCTGGGCTGGGATAGTCCAGAGCCCTGGCCCAGCTCTTCTCCACTGCAGACCGCCATGGCTTTTCTGGAGGTCCAGCAGCCTTTATGGTGACCTCCTTCAGCTCTGGGTAGGGTTTCACATTAAGGTGCCGGTCGGAGCACCCAGCTTTCATGATCCTTTAACCTGACCTGACCTGACCTGAGGTCCTCCCACCCACGAGGAGGAGAAAGCAGGGCAGGTGAGGTCAAGCCTCCCACACACCTGCCCCAGCCCCTCCCATGGACAGAAGGAGCTGCCTCTGAGGATGTACAAGAGTGTTAGGAACAGGGCGGACCTGTGGGTGTTGGATAGGCTTGGGAGGAGCAGGGTCACTGGGTCGTTAAGGCAAGATCCTGGCATTCCAAAGGACTTCCAAGTGGGGGCACTGGAATGTGGTTCTACTGAGAATAGAGCCATTTGGGCAGGGGGAGCAGCGGGCAGTCAGGTCAGGCCTGGCCCAGAGCAGGGGTGGGATAGGGTGGGAAGGACACACGACTGGCATCCAGCCCCAGTACAAGCCATTAATTAACTCCTAGCCTGAGGTGAGTCTCTTCACCTGCTGCTGTTTCCTCCTGGCCAGGGTGATAACAAAACCTGCCCAGTGAGGCCTGACAGAGATAAATGGCCTCTGCCTCTGTGGAAAGCCGCTGTGTGTATATTTGGTGAGGCCTTGTTATTACACAGGGGTGGGTTTGGGGAGGGCCTCTCCGGTCTGACCTGAAATGTCACTCACAGACAGGATGCTGGATCCTGTCCTTTCCTGAGGGAAGCCCAGGGGTCCAGCAGTGCCTGCTTCTAAAGAAGAAATGGGAGTTTCTCAGCCACTAATGTTGGCTAATGATCTCTGGACAACATGGCTGATTCTATCTAAGCCCGCAGCCCTGCCTTATGTGGGACAGGTCCCAACACAAGAGCAGCTGTTACCCTCCCGGGCACTGCGCCCACCCTCCCATCCATCCCTTCCTGTAGGAAAGCTGTCCACTCACACTCTACCCTCTCTCTGGGATAGGAAAATTCCTATAGTTGATGTGAGTCAGAGGCAGAGGGGCAAGGGGAAGGCTGAGGGGCCCATTGGGCTGGGATCCAATTCTTGGGGCCTGTGTTTCAGGCTTTCTTACTAATGCAATAGTGACTTGTTCTGGGGGGACCCAGGGAATCAGAGCAGCCTTTGGGACCAAGAGAATAAGTGTCTATAAAAGAATGGAGAAAACCTGAAATTGGGGGGGGGGCCTCAAGAGTAGGGACAACTGCTCATTGCTGTCCTCAGGAACAGCTGAGCTTTTTGGTTTTGAGACCGGATCTTACTCTATAGTCGTAGCTGGGCTGGAATTTGCTATGCAGTAAACTCAGAGTTTAGAGATCCATTTGCATCTACCTCCAAAGTGCTGGCACTAAACACGCATGCGCCATGCTTGAAATCTGCCTACTTTCAGAATCCTGTTCATCATCTGACTGGCTACTTGTCGCATTGGCTCCATGTCTTCCAGGTTCAGAGTGAACCGATGCTCTACCGTGCAGAGAGTTGGGGAGCCAGGGACAGAATCTGGCCTCTCGACAATAGCAACCCTCTGTCCAGCCCCTTGGCAACGTCTGTCCTTAGCATGAAGGAGTCTGGAGGACTAGGTGCAGTTCCGCTTAGTACACATCCATTCCCACAAGGGTAGAGAGAGAGAGAAAAAGAGGGTGAGAAAGAGAGAGACAGGGGAGGAGAGAGGAGAGAGCCAGCCAGCCAGCATGGGCCTGTAACTGTTGAAATATGGCTAGGGTCCTAAGCTCTGATCTTGGCATAGTCACACCTGCCTCTGCCCCAGGGCCCCCAACCTTGCTTGGCCTTCCTGTGTGCAGACATAAGCCCTCTTGGCTGGAGGCCACAAGGAACGGGGGTATGCACTGGAAGACCTGGGGACAGCACCGGACTGCCTCAGGAAGCCGTAGGAGCCAGTAGCACCTGCCACAGTGCTGAAGTGAGCCTGTTCAGCAGAGGGTCATCCCCTGGCTCAGAGGTCAACAGGCAGAAGGGTCGGTCTGCTGCCAGCAGTTCCTGGGTAAGGCAGCCGTCATCTTCTATCCTGCTGGGCTCCACTTGAGAAGCCCCCCCTAGTCCCCTTTGTCCATTTTAGAAAGTGTAGGTGACATCACGGTCGGGAGGATACTCTCAGTCTAATCTCCACTCGGAAGAGGCCCGGGAGATGAGGCCAGACCGTGGCAGCGAGAAACTGGTGAGCCCCATCTTGGGCTGTCGCCTTGATGGAGAGGCACACGTTCCCTGCACAAGACGGGGAGCTGGCACGCGCCAAGTGCCCAGAGAAAAGGCCTGGCTATGTCTTGGCAACCTGGCTCTCATCTTCACTCAAGCCCCAGAGGCTCGAAGGGTCCCTTAGATCAAAAGGAGAGGAGGCACAAAGGGCACTGAGAGGGAGACTGGGGTCCCTGCCACAAGAGGGCACCAAGTGGCCCGAGTGTAGATGGGGCCTGGGCAGGAGGCCTGCTGGGCCTGCCGGGCTTGAGGTAAGGGGAGGCCCCTGGGTGCTCTGTCCTGGGCAGTTGTCTAGGAAAGCCCTAAATGATGAGTTGGAAAGCTAGTCAGACATGCATGGTTTTCCTTTAGCTGGTTGTGGGATTATAGCAAAATCTTGTGTGAAGGTTCTGGCCTAGGCGAGCTGGCTGCGGTTGCTGAGGACAGCCTGTGGTCTACCTTTAGGCCAGTACATTAAGCCCCCAGGGCTTGCCTGCAGGGGCTTCACAGTCTTGTGAGGCAGCGTCCTCCCATTTCCGGTCCACTGCAGCCTGTGAGGCGAACGTCACTTTGCAGGGCACCTCGCCTTCTGGGCTCTTTCTGCATCTGAGCTCCCAGGTCAGCAGAAGCAAAAGACCGTCCACCCCTGGCAACTTTGAAGTTTTAAAAAAGAAATGACCACAGACTTCCAACCACTTTGGATTGACCTCGAATGAAGCCCCTATCTCTGTCATGCCAGACGCTGCCAGGGAATACTGCATACAAGTTAGCACTCACTGAGCCAGAATTTAAAAATAATTATATTAATAATAAATATGTTAAGTTACATTTAAAACAATAAATAGAAAAATAAACTGATAAATAAAACCAACAGGTACAAAATGTTTCAAAACTCCAACCAAAAAAAAAAAAAAAAGGCAAATAATCGGAAAAAAGAAAACACATACACACACAGACAGCTGACAGACTAGACAAATGGACATTAGGAAGGGTGCGAAATGCAACCTGGGGAACCCTTCACAGTTTACACCATGGCTCCCTCCTCTCCGGTTCACCCTCTCCTCTCCCCAGCTTGGGGAACTGGACACTCAGTTGGGGACTCCAGCAATGCAGGGGAACAGCTGGTCCCTCCCAGTGTCCTCTGCAAAGCTGGGCTGGTGGGTGAGGAGGAGGTCTCCCTGCTGTAGGCAGGCAGGCGGAGATCCAGGGCTACAGAGGCAGGTCGGTGCTGTTGTGCCGCGTCTTCCTCACAGTGCCGTCATCTCGGGGCAGAGCCCTCTGCAGGTTGGACATGGCCACGGTTTTCTTGAGGTCAATCACGGCATAGGAGTCTGAGCTGCGAGCTGGGTGCGGGGTGGGCCCGGGAGCTCCAGACACTGAGGGATTCTGGGGCCCCTTGGAACGGCCTGTGCCCCATCCCTTGAGCTCCACCTGGATGTAGTTGAGCTGCCGTGGGGGCTCAGGGCCCGGCCGGCGGAAATCAAAGTTGAAGACCCTGGGAGAGCCTCGGCGGCGGCGGGTCAATGGGACGGGGAAGCTGCTGTGGCTACGGGCGGAGGCCCGGGTGCTGGTGGGTTTCTGTAGTGGGGTTTCATCCTCCTCACCATCAGGGAAGCCATTTGAGGATGGCGTGAGCCCATCCCTAGAGTCCCCGTCATCCCCGGCCTCCCTGCCCAGCGGCTGGACTTGGCTTTCCCATACAGGGGGAAGCGGGGGCAGGTTCTCATAGTGCAGCAGGGCCGCCCGCCGGTGAGCCAGGCCGCTCCACCCTGGCTCCTCCGGGCTCAGTCTCCAGCCAGCCCCTTGGCGCAGGCCCCCGCTGACATTCTCATAGGTGCATTTGGGCTGGGCCAGGCACTCTGAAGGGCCCTCGTTGTTGTTGTTGTGGTGGGGAGGGTCGTGCATGCTGGGGCAGAGGCTCTGGCACTTCTTCACCTGTCGGTGAGCAGGGGTAGGGCCCAAAACAAACTTGACCTGCCCTGGCTGCAAGAACACCTGTGGGTCCTGCTGGTTGGAACCCCGTGTCTGTGGTGGGAAGGGTGCCCCCTCAGGCAGTGGCTGCAGGCAGTGGCGACTCCTGCGGTGGTCCTCTTCGCCGGTTGGTGTGTTGACATAGGTGTGGGACTGCAGGGGCAAAGGGGGCAAAGACGTCAAGGGAAACAAGTGGTTTCAAGGGGAGTGCAGAGGGACAGAAAGACGACAGAAAAAGAGGTGAAGAGTTTCTTCTGCTTCCTCCACACCTCTCAACCCGCCGCCACCCTTCTTGGGGTGGGGAGGGGCCCTGCTGAATTTTGCCCCCTTCTCACCAGCTTTCCTAGGTCCCATGCCACCCAGAGCGTGGCCCACCACGTGTATACCTGCTCATCGGAGGCAATGAGGGTATGGGTGGACTCTTCCCCAAGCGAGGCGTGTCGCAGGCTGCTTGTGGAGGGTCGGCGGGGAGCAGAGAACCGTGGGCCCTCTCCAGGGCAGCCAGGGAAGCCATTGGAGAAGCTGGAGACGGTGTAGCCTAGAGGTGGGTCCAGGGAAACAGCCAAGGTGAAGGGTATCATTTGCAATCACATGCACACATTCGCGGGTGCCCTGCAACTCCTCTAATGGCAGGCAAGACACTCTCAAGGCCCCTATTATAACTAACCACACTGAACTAGCAGCCCCATTCGCTTTTCCCTCTGCATCCACACCTTGCCCTGCCTTTTGATGACATCCTGAGGCTGACCCAACCTTCAACCCTATCACAAACTTACTTACACACTGAAGGCACACCTGTCACCCTAGACCATTCCATGACCCCAGTCAAGCTCTGCCAGGGAGCACCAAGGAAACTCCACAGACACAGGGGCAGTTTTTACCCCTTCTGTCTCTCACAGAGCTGGGCAGGGAACGCAGAGCAATAAGCAGCTATGTAGTCCGACTCAGTGACCCTTCAAGCGCACACAGTGGGAACCTCCTCATAGGCATGGCCAGAGATGGCTGCACCAGCGAGCCAGGAGAGGTGTATGCTGTATGTGACCCAGCCCAGTAGACGGAAGGAAGCAAAAAGCTCCAGACTGCCGTTTCTATGGCAACCCAATGTCTTCCTGTCTGCTCCCCAACCATTAGTAGACCTACGGCCCAGGACTCTGCAGCTCCGGCTTGAGTCACCCAGCCCGCCCTGCTCAGGACTGATCCGTCCTCAGGAATGCTTCTGATGACGGGTGGACGTCCAGGAAGGCTGGCTCAGCCCAGCCGTCCCCCCCTGCCAGCTTGATGAGTGCCTCGAGTGGGGGGTCTACTCACTGGCAGGCTGTGGGGGCCCCCGAGGGAGGTCGAGCTCTGGGGGGTGGCTGTTCCTCGTGATGATGACTGGCTCCTCCATCACGTTGATACTGTTGCACTGCATGAGGTCCTGTAACAGGTTGAAGATCTCCTCAGCCCGTGAGCACTTGAAAGCGAAGATCCCTGGAGAAGGTGAAGAAGCAGTGAGGTTCCTCCCACCCCTGGAAATGTCCCTGAACTCCAGTCCCATACTGGCAGAGGGCAGGCATGCCTCTCCTTTCTGGAGCATTCTTCCCAGAGGCATTCCAGAATCCAAGAGACACTGGAGGTGGCGGGGGTAAAGGGGAGAGCTCAAGGCACCTGGAACCCTACACTACCTACAACTATCATAGCAAGTCCTGGCACTACAGCCATATTCTGAGGTACAGCTGTTGTCATAAGTATATGTGCTTTCTGGGGTGAGGGGAAAACCATGGATAATTGCCTCCATCTTCCTATATCTATTACTCTTGTTCCTCAGACCAAAAAAAAGAAAAAAAGAAAAAAACAAAAGAAAAAAACAAAACTTCATCCAGGGTGTAGTCAATTCTACACAATGGCTTTTTAAGGACAGATGGATGAGTCTGACCTACTCCCAGATCATTCACAGAATATCCAGTCCAAAGGCTTGCCAGAGAGCAAAGGCCTCCTGTCTCTGCTCATGGTCCCTCACAGAGCTTGGGTTCTGATGCACAGAGAAAAGCTGGACAGAGATGAAGAGAGACACAGCAAGGCAGTCCTGTGGCTCCTGCGTGTAGTCAGCCTCTAAGCCCTTTGGAATCCAGTCTGTCCTCAAAGTGGCAGGACTGGCCTGAACATCTGGAACTCAGTGGCTCTGAAGATGCCAGCCTGGGGCTGGAATGTGGGATTCAGGGGAAGCTCTGGGGATACCTTGTACACACATCCACACCAAAGACACATTACCAGGTATGGTGCCACACACCCATAGTTAGTCACCAAGTTCAAGGCTAGCCTGAGCTACCGATGAAAATCATGTCTTGAAAAACCACGGTGTGTGTCTGGGGTCGGGGGAATCTGTGGTAAAATATTTTCCTAGAGTGGACAAAGCCCTGGGTTTAACCCCCAGTACCACACCCACACAACAATAAGTACAATTAAACTGGGATGTGGACAATGATGTACAGTTACCCATTAGTCCTAGTGTAAGGTAACTGAAGTTTACAGCTACAGAACGAGAAAGATGGGGGTAGAAAAAAAGCTCTTGTGGCAGGACATGTAAAAGCTGGAAAAGACAAGAAGGGCAGAACTGGTGATGCACTGCTGCAATCTGGTACTTGGGAGGAGAGGAGAATCACCGTGAGTTTGAGGCCAGTCAGGAACACATAGAACGAGACCATCTCAAAGTAGGTGGGGTGGGGGAGAGGAGGAGGAGGAAGAGGAGAAGGAAGAGAGGAAGGGAGGAAGGGAGGAGGTGGGTTCAGAAAAAGCCTAGTCTCGGGAGGATCCCTGAACTGGGAGCTTAGACAACCCTCCCAGGGGCCAAGTGCACGTCAACCTCAGAGGAGCAAAGCTGCCTCCGCCTCATGCCTCTGCTTACGTGTGATGCTTGAGGGAAGAGGTGCATGGAAGAAAAGGCCCTTCAGCAATCAGCTGGGGACACTCATTGCTTCGCTGCTGTCTTAGAGATACCAACCTCCTCCACCTCTGTCTGTCCGAAGCACAATCCCAAGAAGAACTTCCTGTGCTGAGCACATCTGGACCTAACAGGCAAGCCCAGACCTCATGTCCTAACCTGAACCTCATGAGCAACCTGCCAGCCCCTGACTTCTGGTTGCAGAGGGCACACGGGGAAGCGGTACACTCCACTGCCCACAGGTGATGGTGGACAAAGGTCAGGCTTTTGAGGGTTAATCTGTATATGAGAGACCCAAGCTCCTGCTTCCCCAAATCTCTACCCAAGCCGCTCCGCTCGGAGTGGCCAGTCTTCTCCTATGCATGGGGCCCAGGGCGTATGACCTAGCAGCTCAGAGGTTCTTGTCCCCCTTCAGGAGCAATAAGGACCCTGAAACCATGGCAACAGTGGGAAGAGTTGTTTGCTCTGCTAGGTAGACTCTGGCCTGGGAGCACTGGCTCCTTCCATAGACTGTGCAACAAGTGCTCCCACACAGACATCCAGGAAGAACCGCGGGGACTAGGGAGTGGAAGAGATTGGTCCGGGTCCACTTGATTCTCAACTAACACGCTGGGGGCCTGGGGCTAAGACCCATCCCTGCTCTGGGCAATGAACACTACCAAGTCTGATGTCTCATGGTAGGATATTAAGGGCCGCTCTTCAAATCTGTAACAAACTCATGTGCTGTCCTAGGGGCGGGGCTCGTACTCACCCTGGCCTGTCTGACAGCGGCGGCCACTCTCGAAGGAGAAGAGGTTGGAGTCGTAGCCATAGCGCCGCAGGCAGAGGTAGGGCCAGCGGACAGCCTCCCGCTGGTGCAGGTGCAGCACCAGCTCACTCTGTGTCAGCTCCATCACCCCTGAGCCCAGCTCCACCCCTTCGTCATCCACATTTGTCACCTGTAGGGAGAGGGGACACAAATCAAGAGAGAACCCAGGGACCCTGGCCACAGTGTCGTGTAGAGCTACAGCCAGGAGACTCAGTTGCTCCTAGCTGTACCAAAGGTACTACTGAATGCCAAAGGGTCCCTTGGGTCACACAGAGCAGTGCCATGGGTCATGACCATTCTCTAAGAAAGTCTCTGCTATGAGCCTCAGCTCTGTCGTTTGTACAGACAAGAAAGAGGTCAACTGCTGACCTCCGAGGACTTCCTGGGGCTCAACAGCCAAAGGCCAGATAACAACATGGAAGGGTTTAACTGTTAATTCAAAATCTAAAGACTTGATAATAGGCCCAAGGCAGAACGAGTCCAGCTACCCTCCAACCCCCAACTGTGCCAGCTTGCTGAGGGCTCCCTCTCCAGTCGGGCCTGAGAAACAGTGGCCCAGACAAACCCCAGTGAGAGGAGAAGGCGCCACCTATGGGATGGAGGGAGCTTAGGTTCATGAGACACCAACTCAGAACTCCCTATGTCCTACGTATGCTCTATTTTAAATACACTATTCTTGATAGTAAGAGAGAGGAAAAGAAAAGAACAACTGAAAATAAAAAACAAGGGTTGTTTTCCACATACAGCACCTCAGAGGCCAAGAGCAAGCATAAGGAGCCTTGATGAGCCCACAACCACAGCCTGTCATTTTCCTTCCCTAGAGGTACTGGAGACCTAAACTCAAGAAGCTCTGGGTACCTTGAACTTGGTAGGGTGGTTGTGTGGTACGCTGTCTCTGTCCAGGCAGCTACAGCAGCTCCCCATGGTGTCAGAGCAGCCTATCCGCCCTAGGAAAAGACAAGGGATGAGCAGCTCACCAGCAACCCCGCCAGGTAGCCCTGCTCTGAGCGGAACACTGCACTGTGACACGTCCTCTGTCCAAGAGGTTGCGTGACGCAGACACGCCCTGAGGGGATTCTCTCGTAATCCATAGCCAAACACACTCAGGATAAACATTAATGCAGGTTAGGATGAGTTAAGGATTCCTCAGCTGGGGAATGACAAGCTTCTCAGAGGTTAACATTCAATCTGGCCCCTGACAAGCACACAGGATTTTGACCCATGGAGTGATATGGACAGGTCTTGGGCTGGAAAAGCACCATGGGTGTAGCAGGGTGCTAGGAGTGGCTGCCTCAGCTGGGTGACAGCAAACACTGACACTTGGGTGTCCCAGATACCTTCTCGTTCCTTTCTGTTTTCCTCATTTTTCACCACACCCTTTCTACTCCAACCACATTCTCTTTCCTCCCTCGCCTCCGTCCCAATAGTCACCGGAAATTAGTATTTCTGATGTTCTCTTCAAGTGAACTGTTGCTACATTATGGTCATGAAACACACTTAATGACCAAACACTAGAACTCACAGAGACCCTCTTGTCTCTGCTTCCCAAGTGCCAGGAGTAAAGGTGCATACTGTATTTCTTCACTGAGAAAAACAAAACAAAACAAAGCAAACAAACAACAACCAAACAATGGTAGGGCTGAGCACGTAGCTCAGTGGTAGAGTAGATACTTGATGAGGAGCCAGATTCAATTCCCAGCACTCCAAAACTAAAACCAGCAAAATGCTGCGTTTTCTTCCCACAGGCCAAAGCAGAGGTAAGAGAGCTTGCTAGCTTTTCCCTTCAGGATACTGGTAATCAGATGACATGTCACAAGAGACAGGTTTCTGCCTTAATATGGAGAGGACACCACCCAGACCTTTGTGACCTAAGGGAATGAGAGACACATGGACAGATCCCAACCAGAGGTTTTGTTGTTGTTGTTTTGTTTTTAATCTTGGAAATCCAACCCAGTGCTTTATACTTGCTACATGAGTGCTCTGCTCTACATGCCTAAGGCCCCAACCAGAAGTCTTAAGAGGTTCACTTTGCTGCAAAAACAAAACAAAACAAAACAAAACCAAACCAAAAAAACCCACCAGGAGTGGATTATCCAGGTCCACGTACTCCTGCTGTAGAAGCTTGAACAAGCCAGCAGCTTGCTGCCTACATCCCTCCCATGCTAAGAAACTCTTCAAAAGGGACACCTGGCCCCAGTTCTTACCTCACCCGGGCCATTGGGGAGCTGAGCATGGGACGGACATGGGGAAGGAGTCCCACTTTATTCCCCCTGTCCTTGGCTGGGTGTCATGGCAGAGAGGTCGCCTGGATCCCTGTGGGTCACACGTGGGGCTCACCTAGCACAGGAGACAGAGGCCGCACATTAATGGAGACCTAACCCTCAACCCCTACTTTCTATGAAACAGACCTTCTATCAGTGTCCCACCCGAACGGATCTGGTCTAGGTCCTAGCGGGTTGGAAAGAACAATGAACAGAACAAGACTGTGGATGAAAGAACCACAAATTCTCAACCCTGAAACATACTTTCTAGGACCAAAGACAATCACCTCTGAGATGCCCAGTACCCTCAATTCACAGCCCTCATTGGAACCCCCTTTGAATCCTGGTATAAACGCCACTCAGAACATCATCTAGCCAAGTGGTGGTGCCTTTAATCCCAGGTCTTGGGAGGCAGAGGCAGGTGGAGCTCTTGAGTTCAAGGCCAGCCTGGTCTACAGAGCCAAGGCTAACCACACACACACACAAAACAAGAACAATGAAACAAATACAAACAAACCCCCCCCAAAACTAAAACCAATCACCTGACCTTTGCAGAGAATTTTAGCTTTACAAAAAGCTTTCTTCTTCAGAAGAACAATGTAACAATACGCTAGATCAGCAGGAGCACCAGTTTATGATTCTGGAAACCAACATTTTAGAATGTTTTCTTGCTATGATATAGCAGTTAGGGGGGTGGGGCCGTCATTCTCCCTCCACCATCTGTAACTCCCGCCCCTAGTTTTTTTGTTTTGTTTTGTTTTTGAGAAAACATCTGTCAACTACAGGAGATATAGCAGAAGTAATTTCTACAAGCAGATATTCATTTGAAAGCTGTACAGACTTTCTGTTCCTAGTGTCAGAAAGGGCAACTATAACAAGAGGCAAAATTTCAGATTATCTGAGCCCTAGGTAGATGAATCAACACACCAGGACTCTGAAGAAAACCCTTGAAATCCCACTTTCCTGGTCCAGGAAAACAGTACTTCCCAGGGTCCCCCAAAGACCTGCATCCTTGCCCAACTCTTAGGCTCTGAAAGAAGTGTGTGCAGGCTAAAAGCAGGTATTGAAAAAGCCATGGGGCCTTCAACTTTCAACATGGAGCCAGGAAGGGGTGTGAAGTCAATAGCACTGGATGCAAGATGGGGGAGGGGTTGTAGCTCTTCAACTCCCCCCTTTTTCTCTGAGCCATCAAACACATCATCAGATCATCCACTGAGGCGGGCTACGTGGAGCAGGACTGGGGAGGCCATGTCTCAGGTAGGTTGGGGTTGGGGCCAGGCATTATTAGATGGAGGTACAAGGTCTGAAAATGTATACGAAGCATTGGAAGAAGATGGGCTGCAAAAAGAATGAAGAGGCTGAGGGATTTCAGGACGGTGACTGCGGAAGCCTCTGGGCCACTGAGGGAGAACGATGTGACTGAGGGCGTTTCGGAGGGTTGGGAGAGTAAGTGAGGGGGTTCTGCCCGATTCGGAAGACCCGAAGGTGTAACTAGGGGGAGGGGAATGGGTGGGTCTGGGAGACGAAAGGCTGAAACTGGTAACAGGAGATTTTCTAGATACCCAGACGGAACGCGGAGGTCGTCGCCGCGCTCCGAGCCTGGATCCCCGCCCCCAACCCCCGGGTCCGCCGCTAGCCCGCTCGCTCGGGGCTTCATAGGGTAGGAGCGGAGACTGCGGCGCGGCACGACGCGGCCTCGGTAGAGCCGCCTGGTCCCCGCCCCGCCGCGCCCCGACTCACATCGCCCCGCGGCCCGGGCGGCGCCGGGCCCCGCTCCCGGGTCCCGCTGCAGCAGCCGCCGCCCGCCCGCAGCTAAGGCCTCCCCGCCCCGCCCCGCCCCGCGCCCGCGGGGTCGGAGGTCGCCGGCTGCACCAACGAGACGCTGCGGGCGGGCCGACCCGAGCCGGGGCCACCGGCACGCAGCCTAGAAGGTCCCTTTGGAGGACTTTGCAGTCGGGGACAGAGAGCATGCGCAGACGCCAGAGGGCGCTCGGAGCCGGTGACTGGGGCTCCTGAGGGGCGTGGCCTGTCTCGAGCAGGGGCGGGGCGAGCAGGCGCGGAGCTGGGCGGGGCGGGCCACAGAGGTTGGAACGATGGCTTGAGCAGAAGAGACTCATGAAAGACCGCAGAGTGGAGCTGAGGAGACTGAAGCCGGGCAGGACTCGGAATCCAGGAGGGGAAGTGGCGAGGGACCGCTGGGGACAAAGGGGAAGAGCTAGAGAGGCCCCCGGAGGGTGCGGGGCTGAAGCTCGGGGCGGACCGAGAGACTAAGGACAATCCGCGGCTGACCGGTGGCGCCGCGAGTCGCCAAGTCCCCCAGTGCCTGCGCCCTTCCTGCCCTGAGACCCACGAGCCCTTTACTCAGTGTGAGGGACTGGGGGCGTGGCCGACGGCGAGTCTTTCTTAGGCTGTGCGGGCGCTGGCGCTTAGCCACGCCGAGACCCTTGGGGATCTACTCCTAAACCAATAGCTAGGTAGGGACCCCAGGCAAACTCGGCGAGCACACGTTGAGCCTCAGCCTTGCGGGTGGATCGGTAAAGTTCTAGGAAAACTTTGGGGCTCTGCTGAGAGGCCCCTCTCTGTTCCCTCTGCCTCAGGATGCCTCCCCATGTCTACTGCGCTCCAGTCCCTAGGGCCTCTCTCGGACTCGTTCTTCCAAGAACAGGTGTTGTTAGGGTAGGTTGACTGACTCCCTGAGCCAGTGTTGGGTCTGTTCTTACCCGAAAGGAGACTGGAGGGGAATTGTGGGAAGAAACCAGCATGTTAATAAGATGGGGACCAATGGTAGCTGGAGATAAATTAGGTTGCCCTGGGGTGGGGGACAGGAGGGGTGTTGGGTAGAGGTCTGTTTTCTGATAGCTATGTCTCTGTTGGACAGTTCCATGCAAACTAGAACTCATCAGGCAGAGGGTACATGTCCCCTTCTGAGGCCTCAGAACCGCTCCCCCATTTCTTGTTGCATGGAGCAGACACAGTGCTGCTAAGGGTGTGGCTGTTCCTAGCCCTGACTGTGGACAGTCCATCCTGGCCACCTTCCACAGGAAGCCTGACCTGAGGGACAGAACAGGAAGGAAGCAGGTGGGTGTGGAGCCAGGAAGGAGGGAAGGGTGGCACTGGATATTTGAAAGGGGACTGCGGAGGTGCTTGGAGTTGGGAGGACTCATGGTTATAAGCTAAACCTGCACACTGCCCCAAAACCCAGGGACTTACTGTTGGTCCTTCTGAGCCCGGCTGCTGTCAGACCATCCCAGCTCTGCTCTGAGGTAGGCTACCTCCTAAAACTTCCTTAGCCTTCAAGTTTGATCATTAGTCAGAGGCTTGTTTGTTTTCAACTGTAAAACAGGTTAGGAGTGTAAGAATGGACCATGTTATGGAATGTTCTAGGATATTCACTGACACTGAATAAATGCAAATTTTGCTCTGGCTATCCCCACCCCACACAACCCCACCCTTCACTTAGAATGCTCATACGTGGACCCTGTTCTCTCTGGTTCCATTTCCTCTTGCTCGGTAGCCTGTGACCTCTGAGAGAGCAGGCCCCATCTTTTCTCTACTTCAGTAGTTAGTCCCACCCAAAGACACTGTAGCCCCATCTTGACTATGGCTGAAGAGGTGTGCTGGGGCTATCCACTAAAACTGCTACTGTGAAGCTGTGTGTGGTGGTGCATGCCTTGGATCTCAGCACTTTGGAGGGAGAGGCCGGAGGATCAAGAGTTCAAGGACAGCCTCGGCTCTATGAGACTGTCTCAAAAAAAAAAAAAAAAAAAAAAAAAAGGCAGGTGGTATAGTAGAGTGGAAGAGGGCTTACCAGGTTTGTGAGAGGCTATTGGCTCCATCCAAGACAGAATGAATGAATAAACACAAAATTTTCCTGGACCCTTGAGGCATTTAAACTAGATGGTTTCCTGGGTGCTATGGGGTGTGTTTGGGACCACTGGCTGGGTTTCCTTTGAGAACTCTGGGAAGGGAGAACTGGAAAAGGCCAGAGAAGCTGAGGATTCCTGGTGAGGAGACCTTCAACCAGGCCCCAAACGACATAGCTGGAAATGTGCAGGCTGAGTAGGGTTTGGTGAGGAGGCAGGGCCTGGGGAAGGGTGCACTGAAGAGCCCAGAAAGACTGAGGCGAGTGGGAGAGGTCTAGCCTGCCCAGAGGCTCATGGGAAAACAAAATGGTTTCTTCCACTGTTGCCCCCTCTTCTACTCCATCCCAACTTTGTAAGGAAGCTCCAAGATTTTGAACTTCATAAACTCAGGGGCTAAAAGGTCTGGCTCTTTCCATTTGTCAGCTGTTTGACCTTGGGCATATATCAGTGCTCTCTGGGACCCAGTCTGGCCATCTGTAAAATGGGGACAGTGCCTCCCTAAGTCTCCTGGCTGTTGGCAAGACTGAGATGGTGTTTATAAAGCACTTTGCATTGTCTGGCATACTGGAAAGGCTTACTGAATGAGCTGTTCTTGTTTTGTTTTGTTCTTTCAGGCAGACTGTCACCAATGTCAGTTCAGAATTCTGACTGGTCCCTCCAACAGGACAATCCTATCTTCAGGAAGCCAGATCCACCAGTCAACTCAGACAGTGACTCAGGCCACTGGCCAGTGGAGGGCTCTGAGGAAACCTCTGCTCAGGTTTTAGGAGCCCCACTCTTTCTGAGACCACTGTGGTCTCATCCTCTGGTCCTCACCAACCAGGAGATAGTTTGCATTTCTCTTTCCGTTAAAACAAAACCTTTATTAGTCAGGTGTGATGGCACACAGTTAGTTCCAGTACTCAGTGGCAGGGGCAGGCAGATCTCTTTGAGTTCAAGGCCAGCCTGGTCTATATATTGAATATCAAGTTCCAGGCCAATGCCCCCCCAACTTTATTTTGTGTGTGCATATGTGAGTGCGTGTGCATGAGCAAACATGCATGTTTCTGTGCCACAACACGTGTGGAGGTCAGAGGACAACCTGAGCCAGCTTGCCATGGGTCCCAGGGATCAAGCTTAGACTTAGTGATAAGTGGATGTGCCTGCTGAGCCATCTTGCTCACTTTGAGACAAGATCTTGCTATGCAGCCCTGAACCTTCAGTCTTCCTACCTCAACCTCTGGGATTACAGGGATGCACAGCCCCTGAGCTTTGCAGCTTTGTAGACCCTTTCTCTTTTCAGGCATTGGGGTTTTGACTTGAAATTCATTCCTGAAACACACAGTACTAGGTTTAGCCTGTGTTGTAGAGATGAGAGGGACTTTGGCCTCAGGGAGCAAGTGAATGGTAGAGTTTCAAATATATGGACTGGTGTTGGGGGTTCCTTCCAGGCAGGCCACAGATCAGGGTGGACCTTACTTATTGAAGACCTGGAAGGGTTTTGTCCCATGTGGAGAGGGATGCTGAGAAGCTGCTGTAGATTGGGGGAGTGGTGATAAGGATAAGAGATGGTAAAAGGAACACCTAGCCCACCTCTTTTCCTCCTGTGTCTTTCCTCAGGCTCCTCCATGCTTGAACTTGGGACCACCTTGCCTGGATATCAACCAAACTTCAGACTGGCCTGGGTTTCGGACCCTCCTGCAGCAGCTTCCTCCACAGGACAGTGATGTGGGTTTCCCCTCTCTCCTTCCTCCCTCCCTCTCCCCACATGGTTACTGTGTGGAAAGAGTCTTGGTCTAGAATTCAGGGGATATGACTAAAAGGCCCAGCTCTGCCACTAGCTGGTGGAAATCATTCCCCCTAGCCTGAGTTTCCACACCTAATAACGGGCATGGTAATATCTGCTCTGCGTATCACAATGCTCAAGGGCAAATGGGAAAATGGATGTGAACCGTGAACGACAGTTGAAATCAAGAATGGAATGCACAGATGTAGAAATATGATCGTTTAGTATTTATTGAGGCCCCACCATGTACAGCCTAAAGGCTTACAGTTCACTAGGGGAGGCAAGACAGTCTGTAAAGCAGAGAAAACAGAACCGCAGGTGGTTCTGAGATGTAGCTTAATGGGAACAAGAGCCAAGCTATCTGGGTGACGGTACTAAGTGCTGTGTGACCCTGAGTGATGGCCATTTCCATGGACAGCAGAATGAACCCAAGGCATATGAACTGCATGCTCGTCCCTCTCTTTTGAGCACGTATGCTTTTCTCTCCCAAGTATGCTTCTCGCTCCCTGTGACCCAGCATCTAAGCCTTAGAGAACTTTTCAATCCTAGTGGTGTTCTAGAGATTAGAACACTGTCAGTCCCAGCACTCAGTGGCAGGGGCAGGCAGATCTGAGTTCCAGGCCACCTGGGGCTACAGAGGAAGAGAGACCCTGTCTCAAAATCTCCCCCTCCCCCGCCAACTTTGTTTATTTAGTGTGTGGGGACCTGTTTTAGCAGGAGCGCTACTGTCTGGCCCTAGGGGAAGAGGAACTGGCCCAACTTCGACTCTTCTGTGCCCAGCGGAAGCAGAAATCCCTGGGACAGGGGGTGCTCCGTCTGCTGCCTCCCAAGCCTGAAGGACACACCTGTGAAAAGGTAGGGAGAATGTCTCCCTGTTCCATCCCTGAGCCTTTCCCTTCCTTTACCCCTTGCTGTCTCCCTTCTGCAGAAGGGGCCCTGGGGAGTTTCGTTGAGAAATGGTTTCAGGATCAGACTTGGCAAATGTTAGAGAAGAATGGAAGCTGGGTTTTGGGGGTTGGCAGCCTGGCTGGTGGAGATGGGCACAGTACAAGAACAGTCAGATTGGGAGTTGTGCTGGAAGAGCCGGAGCTGAGGCCATTTGTTCAGATGCTGACCAGCTCAGCCCTGCTTGGCAGTGCAAGAAGCTGCTGAACCCAGGAGAGTGCGGCGTGTTCGCGGCCAGGGCTGGTGAGCGGTGCTTCTGGCACAGAGCCTGCTTTGCCTGCCAGGCCTGTGGCCAAGTCCTGATAAACCTCATCTACTTCTACCACAACGGGCACCTGTACTGTGGCCGTCATCACGCAGAGCTGCTACGTCCCCGATGTCCGGCTTGTGACCAGGTAGAGCGCTAAGAGGAGACCTTGGGGGAAGTCTTTCCTGGGGCCAACACTGCAGGGACAGGGAGCACCCTCTTAGGCTGCAGCTCTTCTAGGTGAAGTGGGCAAGCGGGTGGGAGGACTAGGAACCAGCTGCCTTTATTTACCTCTGCTTCCCCTCGGTGCAAGCAGAGGTCCTTAAATTAGTTTGGACTCAGAGCGTTTCTGGATTCTTCAATAGACATTTATCTCATCACTATGCCAGATGATCAATGCTGTGCTTGCCCATGCTACAAGGACCTTAACATCGACATGAAAGATAGTACTGAACCTTGGGCTGCGAGTCAGGGAAGCTCTGGGGTCCAAATTCTAGTTATGCCACCTGCTACACGCGTAGGATCCGCCAAAAGCCAAGCACCCTCCCTGTGTCCAAGAGTGACAAAGTACTTCAAATCGGAATGCCCGTGGGCATGTTTTAGCATTAATGGGCATAAGGTATGGTTACTGAATGGGTGAATGAATGAATGAATGAATGAATGAATGAATGAACGAACGAACAAATTAATCGTTTTCCTCTCCCTCGCCCAGCTGATCTTCTCCCAGCGCTGCACTGAGGCAGAGGGCCGGCGCTGGCACGAGAACCACTTCTGCTGCCAAGACTGCGCCGGGCCCCTGGGTGGGGGATATTACGCCCTGCCGGGAGGCAGCCCATGCTGCCCCAGCTGCTTCAGGAGCCGCTACAGAAGCGCAGGCTCCAGCTCAGTAGACGCACTGGAAGGGCAAGCGTCCCTTGGTAAAGGAGGGGACGGTGCAGATCTAAAGGGAAGGGGGCGGCGCCTCAGGCTTAGCTTACAAGGGGCTAATTTCCCCGGCCAGAACCCCACGCCCCATCCCCACGATGGCTGCCCTACCCGCTCCGGCAGCGACCCGTCCGCCCACCGCAACCCCCAGACGCGAGCATCGGGGCCCCCCGCAGCTCTCACCGCGCGTCCCTGGCCTGCGCGTTCCAAAGGCCTCCTGAACCCACCCGGCGGGGCTGCGGCGCCGACTCGCTCCCAGGCGGGGGACGCGGTCGCCCACTGGTGGACGGAGGCGGGGGCCCCTGGGGCAGACTGGCGGCAGCGGCGGCGCGCACGGCACAGCCCGGGGCGGGGCGGGAGGCCGCACGCAACCCTTGGCCCGCCCCTTGCACAGGGACTCGGGGGCTCTGAGATGGGCATTTCTGACCCGTTTGCAACAGGGGAAGAAGGACCGGGTCCAGGCGTCGGCTGGAACCGTGCCTCCTCGCAAGACAAGATCACCTCCCGAGCTGCGCTTCCCTCGGCAGGCGCCAGCCTCACCTTGGAAACCCCGAGCGGGGAGTCCAGAAGGCCGGAGAGAGACACTCCGCAGGCACCCGGAAACCCCAGAGTGGACAGCCCCTGCCCCACCTGCTCCTCTTCCTCAGAGTCGGAACCCGAAGGCTTTTTCTTCGGCCAGCGCCTTCCAGGCCCCTGGAAGACCCCCGGACACCTCCGAGCGGGTGACGGAGGCATGTCCAGGAAGCACTGCACCGTGTGTTAGTGGCGCGGCCCGAAGATCGGGACGGTGGGACGGGGGGCCTGTGGAGCGGGTGAACAGGGCTGTGCTGTGGGAAGACCCAGACTGAGGGCGGTCAGGCACGTGGGGCCGTCCCGTCCGCACCGCGCGCTCTCCGACCTGAAGGGACCTTTCTCGGGGGCACAGCGCAGCCCAGAGCCCCCAAGGGGGAGCTGTCCCCGCCCCCTACCTGGGTTTCAGGCTCTGTGAACTGGAGGACTCGGCCGGGGGCGGGCCTTCTTACTCGGCGGAAGCGCGGCGGCGGAAGTTGCGCCATCGGCCCGCGCCCACTCGGTGCGCCGCGCGCAGCCTGCTTGCTCGGTTTGCTCGGTGCTGTTATGGCTGCCAGCGGGTTGACGGCGAGCGCCGCCGGCTCGGCCAGCGAGGCCCCCGAGGTTCCAGACAACGTGGGCGACTGGCTGCGCGGCGTCTACCGCTTCGCCACCGATCGGAATGACTTCCGGAGGTATGGCCCCTCTCTGGTCCTCTAAACTTGTATTTCCCTACCTGGTGAATCTGGCATCCTCAGGGATTTTATCGCGTGGAGAACATAGTGGCCTCACGGTGGTGGCTTTTTGTGTCTTGTTGAGGCTCGGAGAAAGCACTGGTGGCAAAAGCCACCTGTCACGTGGCTTCCAAGGAATGTCGTCCTGGGCTGCAGCGATGGCTCAGCGGGTGAAAGCATTTGCCACCAAGCCTGAGGACATGAGTTCGATCCCAGACACCGGCTCCCTCCTGCCGATTGTACTCTGATCTCCACTCGTGCACTGTGTCACTAATGAGTATTTTTTTTAAGTCACCCTGTAACCTAGAAGGCAGGGAAGAGGTCTCGACGCATAGACAGGAGTTTTAGTCCTGACAGAGTACTACGTTGGCCTTTGCTTGTGCTAGAAGTAGATGTCGGGGGCTGGAGAGATAGCTCAGTGGTTAAGATCACTGGCAGCTCTTCCAGAGGACCCAGGTTCAATTCCCAGCACCCACATAGCAGTTCCAACTGTCTGTAACTCCAAGATCTGACACCCACAGACATACATACCCACAAAACACCGATGCACAGAAAACAAAAATAAATGATTTTTAAAAAGAGAGTTGTGAACTTCAAATTCTCATGTGCATATTAAGGAGACATAACTACTGTATCAGGTGTCCATCAGCTCCTCTGGAAGGTGGGGCTGAGGGGGAACTTCCCATGGTGTGGCATTAGCTGCATGGGACTCAGTGACCTTCGGGTTAATGAAATGTATTCTGTACCCAGGAATTTGATCCTCAATTTGGGACTGTTTGCTGTGGGAGTGTGGCTGGCCCGGAGCTTGAGTGACATTGATTTGATGGCACCTCAGCCAGGGGTATAGCCAGGTAAGCACTTAACTTTCCTCTCTGCCTGTTTCAGGAGTCCTGAAAGATGAGGGCAGCAGTATGTTCTATCAGCTATTCGCAGCAAGTAGTGAAAAGTCTTGGTGTAAATAAATCCTTACACTTGGGTTTCTTGGTGAAAGCAGTTTCTTCCATGTGTTCCCATTTCTAATACCACCTATTATCTTGTTGCAGATAATGGAACTCCTGTGTACTCAAACTTTTCAAAGACAGCTCTCTGTCTATGACCACAAGATGGAGTCCAGGGTGGTACCGAAGCTGAGCCCCTCTTCTTGCCTGAACTTCCACCCCTGGCCAAGCTCCCAGCCTCAGCTCAAGTGTTGCCTCTGCACAGTTCTGTGTGCAGTTCCCAACTTCCTGCAGAGGGCAGTCTTTGCCCTTGTCCTGAAGAGTAGGAATGATTCTTGAAAAATATTGCAAATAAAGCTTGCACTCAAAGACAGGTGTTTTATTCTTTTAATAAGAAACTTCTTACAAAAACAAGGTGTAAAAAGTCAGTTTACAAAAATCAAAAAAAACATGATTTGTATTTCACACTCAAGAGACAGAAATGAGCCCCAAACATGGATTGCAATGGAAATGATTTGCCTCATTTAAAAAGAAAAGGAAAAACAAAAAAGAAATGGGAACAGAACCATCTACTCCATGGGGATGCAGACGTGCCACATAACTGATTGAGTTTCCTGGAGGAAGAGGTTGGTGGTTTTTGCATTTTAGTGTGCTGGGTGGGTTTTTCCAGACATCTGGAAGGCATTGATGCTGGAACAGAGTAAGATTTGGTGGCAGAAAAGGGCATCAATCTGTGGGTGGTGGCAAACGTGTCAGTGGAAGCAAGCTTCCACAAGGAAGCAGCTTCCTGCACAGAAAGATGCTTCTTACCCCAAGATTTCTGCCGATGCAACTGTCTGTTCTTTCGAGTATGTGAAGAACCAGCATGGAAAGTCTCCTGTGGCCATGGAAAAAGGCTCTGTGTAATTTCATGTAGTCAATTGACTGGACATTTAAAAACTGCTTTTCTGAGCCAGGCCCCTTAGAACTGGTGTTGGATTACAGAGCATGAGTGAGAAAGGATTGGTATAACTGGGCCACAGCTTCTTGACTATTATAGATGTTACTTATAGCAGCTCACTAAAGGTGAACAGGATAAAGCTGCCTTCCTGGATCTGCTGGTATATTCATTCAGCAGTTTTCTAGGGCCTAGGAGTATAGCTCACTGTAGGAAACTCTTGAATTTGACCCACAAAATAATTTAAGAGAGGGCAATTAGAAGTTGTTTTTTGAGACAGGGTCTCTGTACCCCACGTTGGCCTCAAACTTAACTACATAGTTGAAGACGGCCATGAACTGTATCGTGCTGCTTCCACGAGCCAGTTAGGATGCCAGGTACATGTTAGGATTCCAGGCTCTGTAGTGCCTGATACTCTGAAAAGCTCATTTTAGATATTATTAAGAGGAAGACAGGCTGGGCCTGGTGCCACACACTTAATACCAGAGGCATATGGATCTCTGAGGCCAGCTTGGTCTACATAGTAAGTTCCAGGCTAGCCAGGGCTACCCAGTGAGACTATGTCTTAAAGGGGAGACAGGGCCATGAATATGAACACAAGGATAAGGTTTAGGTTTGAAGCCATTACTTTCAAAGCCTCAAAAGGTGACTAGGAAGTGGTTTCTTTTCTTTTTCTTTTTTTAAAAAGATTTAGTATGTATAGAATGTTCTGTCTGCATGTACACCTGAACCCCAGAAGAAGGCACCAGATCTCTATAGATGGTTGTGAGCCACCATGTGGTTGCTGGGAATTGAACTCAGGAACTCGGGAGAAGCAAGCAGTGTTTTTAACCTCTGTGCCATCTCTCCAGCCCAGAAGTGGTTTCTTAAGCTGTGTCATAGATGTAGAATCCCACATGACCCTGGCTAAGCTAGGAAATAGCAGCCTGCTATATGATCCTAAAACTGAGCAGTTCTATTTAATGAAACAATTTCCTAAGTTAAAAACTGGGATCTAAGCAGGCGTGGTGGCACAAGCTTTTAATCCCAGCCAGAGGCAGGCAGATTTCTGTGGGTTGGAGGCCAGCCTAGTCTGTACCAGGGTTCTGTTACAGAGAAACCCTATCTCCAACAAACAAAACAAAACAACCTCCCCTCAAAGCCCCCTTTTTCCAGATTCTATGAATAATTAATTTGCAATAGCTTTCAAAAGCATAATTGAAAGGAAATTTCACTAAAATTTTAAGGTTTAATTTCAAGTAACTTTACTGTTGCTTTTTGAAGCCATAAAGCTGATTTGGCAGTTTCATTTAAGCCGGTTTAGTGGAGCCGGATGGAAACCAGGGCCTTAAGTGTTCTAGCAATGAGCCATTTCCCCAGCAGCTAGTTATATTTTAAGTGAAACATGCCAACGTAAGTATAGACAGATTTCACAAAAGTGATCACTTGCTTCATAAGCTTGCCCCGGTGTGTGGGTTGACAAGCAAGTAGGAAAGTGACAGACCAGGACTCAGCAGATAGGAATGTGGAAGAGAGATGATGCTCACAGTCCTGAGGAGGCGCTTCTCAGCTTTAGCACTGACATAAAGAACTAACTACCTGTGAGATGCACACTTAGCTGGTTTAAAAATAAAAAGTAAAGCAAGTGACTCTAGAAAATTTCACCCCAAGGATACAACTTCACCTAATTAGTCTAGGAACTAGATCAAAGGACCCAGTTACCAAGTGTGCTTTGAATGGTGAGCTTATAAACACCTTCGGTGAAGTCTCAACAAGCTCAGCAGAAACTTAAGGTTGGAGTGAAAGAACTGGCTCTGACCAGCCCTGGCAAAACAGACTGAGGCTCACTACCTTCTACAGCCACTTAGCAGCATCCCAGTTGGCATTTGCCCAGAAAGTGGAGAGGGTGATGGTGACAGAGACATCATTTTTACATCATTCACTCTGCATATTACAATGTACTGGTTTCTCTTACAGTCTAAAGGGTCACATGTAGGAGACTGATTTTTACACTGCCTCCTGAGATGGTTTGTGCAGAAAGACCCCAGAATTCATGTTGATTCCATTGCCAGCTTTAGCCATGATTTAGATAAAGGCTTTTCTGATCATTTGTGCTCTCCCAACTAACTGGAAACCCTTCCACACATAAGCTGCAACCCCAGATAGAGATGAAATCCACATTCAGGAAAGGGTCACCTTCCAGAAAAGGCCAGAATTAATGTTTGGCATATACAAGGAACAATGAACAACAGTGGTGTGTGTTGCCTGCCTTGAAAGACAGCCATTTGATGAATGATTACAAATACAATTTGGGCATTAAAACTCTAGAACTTGCTGGTAAGAACAATCGCATTCATACATAAGAGATAGGAATGCTCTAAAAATCTGATAGCACATGTCCTTTAAACACTACAGAACCAACTGCCATACGACATAACAAGAAGGAACCCTTCCCTTTCTCAATCTCATGCAAACCATAATTAAGTACAAGGCACCAAATTTTATGAATTGTATAAAATTAGTTCACAAAGCTTCATCAGTAAAACAAATTTGAGATCTTTTTTGCCCCTCCCCTCCCCAAGTCCCCTACTGCAAATTTTCATTCTGTGCAACTACTGACCTCTCAGCTTACTCTGGGGCACTGCCAGCCAGTCCACCTCATTGGCTCTTCCCCTGAATGTGGATAGAGCTGAAGGCATAGATAGCCAGAGTAGGGAACTCATACAATCATGGACTCTAGAAGCCTTGCCATTGTGAACAAAAATAAACTCTGCTATTGAGTCCATAGGACACATTAACACTTCTACAGTTTCAAATTTTATTCATGACGTTTTAAGAGACATCTAGAAGTTCTTTACCATGTGGCACTGCCCTCCCATAGCAGGCAGAGGGGCTGGATTAAAGCTGGCAAGAGCTCTGCTGGCCGTGTGATGAGAGCTGCAGTTCCTGGTGCCAAGGGGATCCCTGCTACTTTTGCACTATAATGGGTGCTGCTCTTAGAGGCAATCACAAGCATGAGGGCTAGGCTAGACTGAGGTAAAAAGTCATTTTTGAGGGCTGAGGTGTATCCATCTTGGCTGGCTACAGCAGTAAGTAAACACACCAGCCAATGACAAAGGGTTCACAGCCTGAGACTGCTGCTGGGAGAGCAGCACCTGGCATTTGACCTGGAGTCAGCTAGCTAAGGTCTGTCTGTTTCTTCTCTCTAGAATGTTTCAGTGTGATGCAACTGACATGCGCTCTGCTTTGGCTGTGCACAAACACCAGAGGCAGAGGACAGCACAGTAGCCCTGACGCTGCACAACTCTTCTGCAACAAAGATCCTAAGCACCACCTCCCTAACTTATGCTGCTGCTTCCGGCGCCTGATGCATTGTCTGTGGTTGCAGTAGCACCTTCATGAGGATAGCTCAAGTGGAGACAGTGGGTTTCAGTTCCAAATTATTTTAAGTGATTTTATCATTCTCATATGTTCAGGTCAGCAAAGCATTGGCTTTATAAAGTCCCTAATCTGCTTACCAGTCCTGCTGATAGCTGTTCTAAAACTATTTTAAAAAATTGAATTAGAATCTTTTAATGTTCCTTTAAGTGTTTATATTGATTAATATGTTTCCCCTCTGCGCAGACAGATGTATTCTCTGCCTTCAAGTTCTCTTTCTAGAACAAACACAGGGTTTAAAGAGCAATCTGGTCTTGTTTCCTTTTTTTACTCTAAATAATTTTTGTTTTTCAGACAGGGTCTCACAATGTAGCCTCAAACTCATGATCCTCCTGCTTCAGCACTCAGCAAGTGCTGGCCTTACTTGGGTGTACCACCACACCTGGCTTTGTTTTTGAAAGGGCCTTTCCTACCATGGTAACAAATCAATCACCATCATGCCACCTTAGTAATTGGACTTCAGGGGTACAGCTTTACATTAGAACCTCAGGCAGTGTGGGCAACTAGGACACTTTAAAACAGTGCCCAGGAGAGGAGGAGCCCTAGCAAAGCTCACAAAAAAGCCTGCAATAGACAGTAAAAACCAAACAGCACAAAAATGCCATACGTTATCGCTTCCAAATAAAAGCTAAATATCACAGAAACCTCACAGTGTTGTAAAAAAGCAAGTTTAAATCTAGCATGCTATCCCTGTCAGGAAGTCACTTTCTGTCTGATTTTTCCATGTCCTAGTGATATCTGGCAGGCCTGTAGGAGAGTTCACCTCAAATGAGGGCAGCAGTAAATGCTACACATGTGCCTGGGAAATGCAGCTGCCTCCTTCAGCCTCACCATCCCTGTTCCCCACCCCTTCAACACCCTTAAAGTGACAACTGTACTACCCGAATTCAAACATTAACACAAGCTACTTAATCAAAAGAGAGCATTCACTGGGGAGGCTGCAGTGGCCACTGCAAAGAGAAAAAGGCTTTCCTGTGCCTGATAGGGAGGAAGGCTCTGGGCACTCGAATTCCATTTAGAAATGGAATGAATTTCAAAGATGTGATTTTACTAATACCAGAGTAAAAGACAGGGAGTCTTGCTCTGTTCCTCATGGACAAAGTGGCAGATGAGAATAAATAGCAGACTGGGAACAGAATAGGCAAGGGCCACAAGCACACGGTCAGTCCCTAAGCACTGCTCACACCTGAGAGAGGCAAAAGCTTCCAAGCTTGCAGACACCCATGTTCTGGGTGGAAGGAAGAAGCTGCATGCCACATAAGGTGAGACCCCAGGGGCAGCAGGCAGTCAGACAAGCCCTGCTCACCCTCACTGCATTCTGAGATGGCTTCTACAACTGACCCAAAGACCAATCCAAAACAAACCATGACTGTTCCAGACCTGAGCCAGGGCCCTGCTCCAGGACTGGGAAGTCAGGAGTGTCCATGGCTTACCATGTGCAGACTGTGCTGCACTGGTCTCTGGCTCCTTCTCTGACCACCTCTTCAAAAGGAAGGACTGGCTCATGCCTTGGCTTCCCAGTGTGCAGTGCTGAGATGGCAGCGGCAGCTCGGGAGAAGCCCCGTGTGAAAGCTTCACACTTGGCATGGGGACATCTGCTGCATGCCCTTCACCCCATCTTCAACTCTCTCCTAAGAAGAAATTCTGCAAGCCCCGACCCTTGATGGTTACCTCGTTTGTGTGGATAAATCCTGTGACTTTCACCTTGGAACCAGTCCTTCTGGCCAGCTGCCAGCCTCTGTAACTCCTCATATGGTCTGCATTGCCGCGAGGAGGTCCCGATTGGTAGGGAACTCATGACAGAGCAGACAGAACGATTGCTCTTCCTGCCTGGTCAGTTACCCTCTCCTCTACCCAGAGCCCTCTGTTTTCCAGAAGCAACTGACAAGAGAATCTTCATAGAAGTTACTCCTTTAGATTGGTTTTATGAAAGGAGGGTATTTCCATGTGTTTTCAAAAGAAAGTGACTACCAATTTTTTGACAGGGCAGGAATCACGGGGCATTGTGTCCCCTAGACCCAGTGAGGCAAACCCAGTAATCTTACTGTGGCAAGCCTTATTTCCCAAGAGGGAAAATGGAAGGGCATTTGATGCATGCCTACCAGTCAGGGAAATGTGTATGTTCTGTGTTCGTCCTTGCTGCTGGACTGCACCTGAGCTCGGAGATGGGGTTCTGAGAGTTTTGCACTGCCCTGAACTGTTCTTCGAGTGTAAAAAAGAATGTAGGCCTGGGTTTTGCACACTTCCTCGACACTGCATACATCCAGCTTTGAGTCATTGCAGTGGACCCAAAAACCTAGGAAGTGAAAGGAGAGAAAGAGAATGACAACCTGGTTTATATCTTCGACAGCGGCAGCCAGGAGATGGGGGGAGAACATTGGGGCAATAGAGAGACCTTTTGGTTACTGGTATGGAGGGAGGGTAAGTGAATGACACCAGGCTCCCCGTAACCACTGGCTTTCATCCCACCAAACTCCACCACAAAGACTCTTCCCTACAGTATTGACTAACCAATTTTTGTCCTCGTTTTCTTTATACACTAGAGCTCTACAGAGGCAGCCAGGACATGAGCATTAGGCACAGGAAGAGGGGAAGAGGGGATTGAATGCAGTGCTTGTTTATAGGCTTGGGCTGCTGAAAAGCTGCTTACAGCCCATCTGTGTCAGTGGAGCAGCTGGAGACTAGCCTGTGGGAGGGCTGAGGCACCTCTGGAGGGGCCCTGAGACCCATACTCTTCAAGGTAAGGGAGCTAGTGAGGACACAGAAAGTGTCCTAAATGTCCTCAAGAGTTATCTGAGTGAAGCTAGACAGAGCTGTAACATATGTATCACCATGAAGCCCCGTCACATTGAGAAGGAAGCTGAGGTCAGCAGAGTTTTTGTTACCTAGCCATAGTAATCTCATCAGTAATTAATACTGCTGCTGATGCTGTGCTAACCTCCAGCACTGGATCTAAGTCCTTTAATATAACCTTACATCCTGACTAAACCCCCAACTTTCCTACTGCTTCTCATTGAGTTTTAATATATGTAACTTCTCCCTAGCTGACCCAGGGGAATGAAAATAATGGAAAGCAATAACGTGAACAAACCAACCCTTTTCCATGTCCCCAACCCCACAGTAAAGCGCACGCACCTCCCTCTGTGTTGTAGCAATAGGCTGTGTAGTGTCCTGAGCCAAACCCTTTCCCGTGATGCATGACCACTGCGGAGAGATCATAGGCAAAGGTCTCTTTGTCAAGAGAGGAGAGCATGTCCCTGCAGCAGTAAGGTTCCATGGTTAATACCTGGTCAAAGACGACATGGACCCCAATCTTCTCACGATGATTACGGCCAGACCACCTACAACATGAGATGAATTTCTTACTAGTGAAGACTGGTACAAGACAGTTAACCAGGGAGCTGAGAAGCACAGCTTCTGTTTTTGCGTTTGCCCCTACTAATCAAAATCCACGTGGATATCTGCTGTGGAAGTCCCACGGAGTATTTGACCAGAGAAACCCTTAAAGAAGCAGTTTAGAGCCTGGCCGTGGCGGCACATACTTTTAATCCCAGCACACGGAGGCAGAAGCAGTGATTCTCTGAGTTCGAGGTCAGCAGGGTCTATAGAACAAATTTCAAGACAGCTAAGGCTGTCTCGAACCACTCTGCCTCAAGAAAAGAAAGAAAAAAGCAGTAGTTTAGGCATATCCTCTGTATACTGCCTGCTCCTTTCATTGGTTCTTTTATGCTGTATCTTTAGGATGAATTTGCATAAACAAATTCAGGCTAGGAGAGTATTGGCAGGCATTAGCTAGAAATGAAACAGGGCGAGAGAGCAGAAGCCCAGGCTGCTGGCTCGAAAATCAGTTTGTCATACTGGACAAGAATGACTCTCCAAGGCAAGTGCAGGCCCCACAGAAATAGGCTTCCCTTTCCCATTCTAAAAACCACATCTGTCCTCCCAAGCCCTTGAAGCAGTTATCCCAAAGCTCACCTGAATCTTTTAAGGTGTAGCCGGAGGACCTGAGGTAGTCTGTAGATCATTAACTGCTTCCTAGCTTCACTTAGAACAAGGGGTTTGGGGTTGGATTTTCGTCGTTTGCCTGTGTGGTTTGAGAAGGTGTGAAGACATAGGCAGTGAGGAAATCATCCACAGTCAAGAACTAGACCTCACTTTTATTTAAAGTAGTAATGCGGCACATTCTAAACTTGCCCACACCCCAGCTTCACAGGCCTGAATACAGTGGCTCTGGACTTGTGGCTAAGATGAAAGGAGCAATAGGACCCTGAGGAAACCCTGAGAATGGGGGCTTTGCACTTGATAGTGAAGTGGAAGGAGCCTGCATTCCTCCATGACCATACAGCCACATGCTGGCCTCGGAGTGTCCTCTAGACGTCTAATATATGACAGTCACTGCTGTTGGCTCTTATAAGCAGCCAAACCTGATCCTGATACATCAGCTTTCAAATTTTTGCCATCAGCAGCTTCCCAAAGTGGTGTGGATTCCTGATAGTACATTCCAGGTACTCTGGATTGTTTATAGACTATAAAAGGTAGCTGCTACCACAGTGTACAAAGTGCGTTGAATACACCAGCTGTCTATGCTTTTACATTCCTATCATTTAAATTATCTGTGCTCTAAGTCTAAAAGGCTTTCCCTTTACACGAGTTAGGCCTAGCCTCACTTCCCTGCTTATAACTATCTGCATACCAAATGAATATGTTATTCAACAGTCTGAGGCATAGCTCCCTCACCAGGAGAGATATATTTTTGCTTTGAATGTTACATATATTTGGGGCTTAGGAAAAAATATAATAAAGTATGATTAATAAAGGGCAGAAGAGAAAGCAGATTTTTCCCAACATGTTTTGTATATGATATAAACAAATGTTTAGAAAATAAACTTGGGTTGTTATGGTGGCTAATCTTGTTTGTCACCTTGATTCACCTGGGAAGAGGGAGCGCTAATTGGGGAATTGCTTACATTAGATTGGCCTGTGGCCATGTGGAAGTTCCTGGATTCTTGATTGTAGGAGAGCACAGCCCATGTGGGCTGCACTACCCATGGGCAACTGGGTCTCAGTGGTATAAGAAAGGTAACTGACTGGAAGCAAGCCAGTAAGTAGCTTTTCTCCATGGTTTCTGCTTCAGGCTCTTACCTGAGTTCCTTCCCTTCCTTCTCTTTAGGATGGACAGTATATCTGTAAACTAAAATAAACACTTTCCCCAAGTTGCTTTGGGTCACTGTTTATCATAGCAACAGAAGCAAACTAGGACAGTAGTTCTGTGATTTTATGCCACAGTTTTTGAAATGTGTTTCTTCTTTCCTTTCTTTCTTTTCTTTTTTTTTTTTTTTTTTGGAGAAAGGGTTTCTCTGTGTAGCCCTAGCTGTCTTTGAACCTACTCTGTAAACCAGTGCCTGCTTTGACCTCCTGAGTGCTGGGATTAAAGGTGTGTGTACCACTGGCTGGCTGAACTGTGTTTCTTTAGACATGGCGGGAAAGCAGCCAAGTTTATCTAGTCCAAAAGAATAATGCTGACTCTAATTCTGATTATACACAACTGACTTGTAAGTGAAATGGACGTCTAAATCCTTAGGAAATAGACAAGGGAATAAAACTTTCTTTCTTTTCTTTTTCTTTCTTTTTTCCTGGAATGAAGAGATTTAAAGTGTGGGGACAGGGGTGAGGAGAGAGAGAGACACAGAGAGAGACAGTGGGAGAGCATAGAAGAGAAAGAGGAGCATGGTGGGGGCTGAAAGGGAGGGGAGGGAAGAGGAGAGAAACCGAAGCAGAGAGAATGGGAGAGGAGAAAGAGAGAGACAGAGACAGGGGTCTTTTTTCGAATAATACTTTCATTAATCTCAATCCGAGAGCTCTGTAAGCACTTACTGACTCATTAGACGTAATCAGATGGGACACAACATTCGTGGTCCACTGTCTCTAAGCTGTTGCTCAGAGGCTCAGAGTAGAAAGCATGGCATCTGGTGTCAAGTCCTGTCTGTTGCACATGTGAGAACAGCACTCTGTGATAACAGGACATTAGGGTTAGCTGTTCAGGGCAGGCTGCATCAGGGTGTGTCTGCTGCTGGAAGGCCTTGACCAGCCAGCCACCAGTCATGACATGTGGGATAAGCAAAGAAGCGCTCAAAGAGGGGCTTTGCCCTATTCTCTTCCTGCTTTGTAGCTCTGCTTAGGAAGTGGGCAGTGACTACAATCCACAGCAGAGGGAGTATGTGAGCTAAGATGAAAATGTAGACTCCGGCTTTGTTTCCCTAAAATGAAGTTCACAAAGAAACAGAAATTACTGACTCAGTTGAGACGGACAGGTTTTGTCTCTGTTTAATTAAGCAAAAATACAGAAAGGAAGAAGAGTGCCAGTCCTCAAATCTCAAAAGCATGAAACCAATGCAGTTCAGGCCTGCTAGAGCTTTTCTTCTACATTATCAGTGGCATAAAGTCCTGACAGATCTAATGGCTAGATGTGCCATTAGAAAAGGATAACTTCTTGAAAAACTAAGAGTATTTCCTGCCTAATCTGTCATATCCAAAAATGAGAAAGTTGTTTGTTCCTTATAGGTAAAAAACTTTGGCTGGGCATGGTGGTGCATGTCTTTGATCCCATGACTCAAGAGGCAGAGGAAGGCAGATCTCTGAGTTTGAGGTCAGCCTGATCTACAGAGTAAGTTCTGGGACAGCCAGGATACAGAGAGAGAGAGAGAGAGAGAGAAAGAGAGAGAGAGAGAGACTGTCTCAAAACAAACAAAAAACAAAAATAAAAACAAAACCACAGAAAACAAAACAGCACTCTCCTGAAAGAAAAAACCCAATGTATACTCCCAAACTATTATTTTATGGTATTGAACTGATATCCATAATTTTGTATTTTTCATTTCCAAATATTTCTATGTTATAAAATCCAGACACTAGGGTTGGAGACATTGCTCAGCATGCAGAGCACTGGCTACTCCTGCAGGGCAACCCAAATCTGGTTCCCAAGGCCCACATGGTAGCTCACCACCAGTTCCAGGAGAGCGGAAGCCCTCTTCTGACTTCTGAGGGTCCTGGGCATGCACATGGTGCATGGACATGCACACAGGCAAGCACACACATACAAATAACTGTGTCTTTAAACACCATCACCAGATGCAAGCTTCCACATCTCTGCTGTGCACTTCTACCTGAGCATGCTGGGCTTTCGGAAGCACCAGTATTAGTCTGCTGACACAGAAGGGCCTAAACATAATGCCTGTGTAATTGCACAGGAGACCCAATTTAAATTAAACCAATGACACAGAGACACTTCTTCCTGTGAAGTGTAAACTTTGCCAGCATGTGAAGAAAAAAGCAGAAGGGAGCTGGAGAGATGGCTCAGAGGCTAAGAACACTGGCTGCTCTTCCAGAGGTCCTGAGTTCAATCCCCAGCAACCACATGGTGGCTCACAACCATCTATATTGAGATCTGGTGCCCTCTTCTGGTGGGCATGAAACCAGAGCATGTTTATAAATAAATAAATCTTAAAAAACAAACAAACAAACAAAACAAAACTATAAAAAAGAGCACACTATAAAAGAAGAAAAAAGCAGAAAATATCTATGAGGTTGTCATTCACCACATGCCATAAGATATTGGTTCTATGTACCAATGTTTTAAAAATCACATTTATGTAGTGTCTGTATGTCTGTGTAAGTCAGGCGATAACTTATGTGAGTCTGTTCTCTGTCAACCATATCGGTCCTGGGAATCAAACATGGGGTGTCAGCTGAGACGTCTTGCCAGCCCCAGTCTTCTGGCTGTGTGTGTGTGTATGCATGTGTGTATGGAGATGTCTGCCCACGTGCCTGTCGAGGCCTGTGGAATACTGTGGGTATGGTTCTTCAGGAGCCATCATGTCTGTTTCTGTCGTTGTTCATTTGGCTCACTGGCCTGGAACTCACTGGTAAGTAGGCTAGGCTTACTTAAGTGGCCAGCGTCAGGATCCATATGCAGCTTCCTCAGGGCCGGGTCAGCCACACACGCCACCACACCTGCCTCTTTACCTGGGGGCTCCACCTCGCTTTCCCTTTGCTTGCAAAACAAACCCTGTAACAACTGTCATCTTTTAGCATGAGTTTTAACAGACTTTAGATCTATGGACTCAGTATGAAAACATACTTTCTTATCCTACAGCACTCAAATGGGGTATATCACCTGAATTTAGATTAAACAAGAATCATGAGACTACATTTGTGAGCCTAGGGCACCTGTAGCATTATGAGGCTAAGTATTAACATTCGCAGAGTCCCATTTTCACACACTTCCTAAATAGATAAGATCACTCAGAAGTGGTCAAAGGGGCTCACTTGGGCCATTATTTTCAATATTTTAGGAAGTGTGTTCATGTAGGGATAGGTATGTGCAAGTGTGCATGCTGTGGCAGACAGTTCGCTGCATCCACCTTCTTGTGGCTTCTAAGGGTTGAATTCAAGTCACTTGGCTTGTGCAGCAAACACCTTCACACACTGAGCCATCTCACCGGCCCAGATCTGTTTTAGTATGTAGAGTCCATATTGGTTATGAAGAGACCGTGAGAAGAGGATCTTTTTGAAAGATGGTTTAGACCGTTCAGTGCCATCAGTGTTACTTTTGACTAAAGGCTCAAAAGCAGCTCCTTAAACTGTGTTCTAGTTGCCACCCCACTCCTCTCCATGCAGCACTCACTGTTACACTGGTCACAAGCGTAGATTCTCCCCTCCAGGGCCTCTGTCTCGGTGAACTTGGCCAGCATCTCAGTGAGCAGGCACTCTGTCTGATTCAAAGGGACAAGTCCCTTTTCTATGCAGTGGTAGCGTTCAGGAAATTCCAGGGACAGATCCCAAAAGGGCTCAATGGTATTAGATTTATAATTGCATGATATACATGTGACCTAGAATGACAAGATTGTTTTTGCAGATTATGTAGTGTCCATGCTTCCCACATACACTTTTGCTTGTTTTATAGAAGACATATAAATTTACTAACCAATTTCTCCCAGAAGGCTAATAAGAACTTAAATAACTTTACTAAAAGCACTGGAACATATTCCGTGTGCTTGTATTTCTAACCATGCTGTAACTAACTAGTCAAGTGAGGAACCACAGGGCACCCCCTCCTTTCGCCCAAATGAATGCTGCCTCAGTAGAGATAACAGTTACCTCAGAGGCATTAAAGGAATTGGGCTTAGGAAAAATTGACAGGGCACTCACCCTTAAATTCCTCCCTTTCACTTGATCCTTCCACATAGCAAATTTCCGTCTTTTCTTTTTCTTTCCTTCCTTCCCCTCTCCTTTTCCCCACTCTCCCCTCTTTCTTATTTTTATTTTCCTCTGAGGTAAGAGTCTCACTGTGTAGCCCCTGCTGGCCTTGAACTCTGGATTCTCTTGCTTTAGCCTCTCAAGTGCTGGTGTGATAACACACGTGCCATAACACCTGGTTTACCCATTTCCTGCGGCACCTGGTCTGCAGAGCTTCAAGATGCTTACACCTCCTCTCACACTGTAATATTCCCAGATGCTATTTCCAGGCAGATGGGGGGAGGGGGGAGCTCAGATTTTCCTCCTAGCCCTCTCATCAGTTTTTTCAGTCTTAATAACTGAAGCACAACCTTTGCAACTCAGTGTGGAGGCTTTACCCAAGTCTTCTTAGGTTGCCCACCTTATTTAAAAAAATCAATAATCGTTCTTCTTGTGCACATTTTTATAAGGCCTGAGAATCTTTGCTAGGTTTTGACATGGCTAAAGATCCTGAAAATGAAAGGCAGTGGGGTCATGAGGTCTGTAACCTGACACTTGAGAGGTGGAGGCAGGAAGACCAGAAGGTTGCCACCATCCTCGGCTGCATAGTTAACTCCAAGGCTGTTGGGCACCATATATTGCAGGGTGGGGGAAGTTACAGGCAGTGGGAAGGAGGCTTGCTTGGGTCTGTGGCATACTCCCAACTACTTGTAAGTAAAAGAGAAGGCTCTTTCAAACGACCTTTGAAATGATGTTTTACACAATCTGTCCAGTTTTGTAAACTGGACAGATTAAAGATCTGGACAGAACACCCAAGTTCACCTACATGGTTACCGATATACAGTGTAAGGTACAAACAACCATCTTGAAACATGCAGAGCCACAAAAAAAGACTGTCTATACTAATTAGCCTGGGGATCTGGAAGCCCAGACTCTCACCCAAGCTTCCCGCCTTGCTTTGGGTAGGCACACACCTACCTGACTGAGCAGCTGCCCGTGAAATATGGTGTTCACCACTTTTAAGACCTGCTTGGTGAGCTTCCTCTGGGAGAAGGGGATGAGGATCCGGCGTGTGGAACCCTCAGACTCAAGTTCCTGCTGCACCTTGTGCAGCAATTCACAGAGAAATTCCTGTGCATCCTGCTGGTCGTAGCCTCGGAAGGCGGGAATCAGGCTCCAAACCGAATGAAGCATGGCAAAGGGTGACACCAGCGCCCACTTCCCAGACCACATGACTCGGAAGAGGGTGTGCAGCTCGTGGCAGAGGGAAATGTGCTTTGAGCTGGGTTCCTTGTTCTGAATGAGCTCCAGGCTCCTGCTGATGGAGGCTCCGCTGTTCCAGCAGAGGCCCCGAGGTTCACACCCCTGTGTCTGGTCACTCCTTACCGACAACTCGGTGGCAGAGCTGCTGGCTGGCCTACCAGAGAACTGAGCTTTCCCGTTGGTTGCTTGGGGAAACAGATGCTCCGAGGTGGAAGGATCGAGGTTCAGGAAACATTCCCGGAACTTCTGGAGGTGGCTGAGCACCTGGAGGATGGAGTTCATGTAGCAGGTGTTACCCAGGTTGCGCAGGCCGGTGACACCTGGGGCCACCGCAGGCTGGCGGCGGGGCTTGAGCGCAGCCATGGGCGCCCGCCGGGAGGTAGCGAGGGTAGCAGGGCGCACAGCCACAGGCCCGGGAGCATGCGGGAGCAGGCGCGCACTCTTCCGCGGGGGTGCGCTGGCAAGCTCCTCCAGCAGCCGCCGCTTGACCTCGCGCCTCCGCTGCCGCGCCGCCTCCTTCTTGCGCTCCAGCGCCTCCTCCTGCTGCTGCTGCTCCAGCTGCGCGCGGCCCCGGGAGCTCTTCTCGAACCACAGCCGCAGCGTCTTGGCCAGCAGGCGCTGGCGCCGGTACCACAGAGCCGTGAGCATCTGCGGCTGTCCCTGAGGAGTGCGCTGCGGCGGGACCACGTCCTCGCCTGCAGCTGTGGACCGCAGCGTCCGCCCACGCCTCGCGGGCAGGTCCTGCTTCTGGCCTTGAACCGCCAGGAGGGAGCTTCTCAGCAGCTTCAGGTCCCCCTCCGGGTTGTCATTGAGTACGTAGTCCTTGCAAAGGTAGCAAAACACGTAGAGCTCCCGGACCTCCATGGCCAGCGGGTGTCCAGTCTCTTCAAAGTGTTTCAGTGCATGGTCTTCGATGTAGCGGCCGCATGCCACGTGGGAGCACTTGAGGCAGGCCCAAGCGGACTCTGTGGTGGCACACTCCAGGCAGCACCACTTCTGAGGGTTCAGGATGGAGTGGTCCTGGGCGAGCCGTAACCGCCCTACATGTTTGCATCTATCCATGTTTTAGTGCAGTCGCCACTCTCTTAATCTGGCACCACAGAGCCCCCCCAAAGGGGAAAAAAAAAAAAAAAAGCAGAATTTCAGCAAAATGTTTTCCTAGAAAAAGGGTTGCAACTGGCATTTCTGTGCAAGACATATTAGTTTTTAACTAGAGAGTTGTTCTTTTGAAAGTTGAAACTAGTATTTCAAGTACTACCAGGAGTGAGGGACAAGGGCCTCAAAACAAAATCAACATGACCTTGGGTCAATTTCAGTGTATTTCAAAGCAAAGGTATAGAATAAGAGAAAGATAAGAAAAAGAAAGCCAAACAACACCGAAGGAGGCAGGGCTTAAGCCTCAATTTCAGTAACATTGTGTGAGTTAGCTTTTCTGAAGAGAACACATTTTGTAGAAAGAATGGCAAATCCCACATCTTTTCTGAAAAGCACATACACAGATGAATCTGGGCAAGATGATAGGGCAAGACATGGTGTGTCTGTCCACTGGGATGACAGTGTTCTAGCCAACTACTCAGAAACAAGAAACAAGCAAATGGAAGCAAGCTTGCTTCCCTTCTGTTTTGCCAATGACTTACTCTGTAGCCCAGGTTAGCCTCAAATTAGTGGCAATCCTTCTAACTCAGTAAACAAGTGTTAGTATTACTGAGCTCTAACATTGCCTTCCTCCTACCCCCCTGGCTTATGTTTGTTGGTTTGGTGACAGGGTCTCACTATGTTTCCAAGGCTGGCTTTGAACTCAGAGATCCAACTGCCTCTTGCGTACTAGTATTAAAGGCATGAACCACCACACCTGGCTATTTTATTTTTTAGTGTGTGTATGTATGCATATTTGTCTGTATGGAGGTTTGTGCTCATGTGTGGCCACAGAGGCTAGAAGTCAGATTTCCTGAGTTGGAGTTACAGGAAGCTGTGAGGCCCTGATGAGTGTGCTGGGAATCAGTCACAGTCATCTGGAAGAGCAAGAAGCACTGCCAACTGCTGAGCTGCATCTCCAGCCTCAGTTCTTATAAGAGAACTTCCCCTCTAATGCTTCCTCACTTTCCATTTCCGAGAGCAAAAATCTCTACATCAGAGGTCTGCAGCTAAGCATGATGGCCTGAGTTCAATCCCCAGATCTCACATGGTCATCATAGGAGAGAACATGCATACCCCAGCCTCATGAACACACAAAAAAATAGTATAATGTTAAAGTTTTGTTTAACTGTTGGCTTTACCTCAATGGATTCAGTTAGCTCCTGATCACCGGGAGAAATAAACACTGCACAGAAAGGGGGTGGGGGCGGAGAAAATTCTCAAATCACAAAAAGAAAAGCCATCTATTCTATCCTAATTAAGAGAAGGACTGCCAGGACCTAGCTTCTACTGCATTACTTTCTAATCATCATTCATTCTTATTCTTAGTATTTGCTACAGATTTGTTGCTATTTCCACTCTAAGTCATTTTTCTAGATGTGTTTGTTCACTCTGACTAGATATAATCGCCTTTAGAGAGGAGTTCATATGTTTTACTCCATTATAGTGCCAAAACCTGAGTGTTCAAGAACAGGTCAAACATTATTATCAGAGCGACTCTCTCGGGGGCTGGGAGATAGCTCTCCAGTTTGAAACAGCCCTGAAAGAGGTATTTTTGCTTTCTTAGGGCACAGCAAATCACAACACACATAACTAAAAACTGAAGAGATGAAAGGGCAAATGCTGCTCGACACACTGCAGCGCGGCCATGAAGAAACGAAGGGGAAAACAGAACAACAGGAAATCAGCAAGTTTCTGTTTTTCAAACTAGTTCCTCAACTCCCACCTGCATCAGAATTCCTTGGGTTCTTTCCTACCTCCCTACCTACTAATTCATACCAGATGAATCCGCATGTGCAGAGGGGTCCACTTTAAACAAGGCCACCAAACACTGAACCAGTCCAACAAATTAGAGATGAAGAACTCAGAAACAAAAGGAAGAATTCTATTTTCCAAACCTTCCCCACTTCTCCAAAGGCAGGGTCTCTATGTATTCCTGGCTGGCCTGGAACTTTCAGTGTAGAGCAGGTTGACCTCCAACTCCGAGATTGACCCACGCCTGCCTTCAGTCTGAATACTGGAAGTAAAGCCCTGCTCCACACCATACCTGGCTATTTTCCAAATTCTTCCACTCAGCACAACACTGCCTGAAATGATAGACTGTTCTCTCTTTTGCCTTCCAATACTGTAGTAACTAGTCACATGTGAATATGAAACACTTGAAATGTGCCTAATGGGATTGAGGTCTTAACTTTTAACTCCATTAACTTTAATTAAAATTTAACTTAATTTAACAACTCCTCTTCTTGGGGAGGCAGAGACAGGTGTATCTCTGTGAGTTCGAGACCAGTCTGGTCTACAGAGTTCCAGAACAGCCAAGGCTACACAGAGAAACCTTGTCTCAAAAAAACAAAAAACAAAAAAGTCAAGTGAGGTTGAGCTCCATGACCCATGCCTTTAATACCAGCACTTGAGAGATAGAGGTAGGTAAATCTCTTTGAGTTCAAAGCCAACCTGGTCTACAAATCAGTTACAGACCAGCCAGGGCTACACAGTGAGACCCTATCTTGAAACAAACAACTCTATGTTTCAAGGCTAGCCTGGTCTACAGAGTGAGTTCCAGGACAGCTAGAGCTACACAGAGAAGCCCTGTCTTGAAAACAAAAACAAAACAAACCTAGCAACAAAACAGTCACATTTGGCTAATGACTGCAGCCTTGTGACAGCACAGTTGAGGCTTGCTGATCCATATCTGAATGGCCTCCTCTTAGAACAAGTTCCTGATGCCTAGCAATCCCCATTTTGCCCTGGTGTGTCTTCAGGAAGTTAGTGTCATCAGATCTTATACCATGAAACAGAAGACTGATGTCTCCCAAAGCCAGCTCCTGGGCTAGAATGAAATGGAGAAACGACACGACCAGCCAAACAGTCCACACTGCCTCTGTGGAGACCTGCTGGGAAGGGCACTTGGAGAAACGTTTCTCCTGATTTCGTGTTCTGGTCTATAACCCTACTACTGGAGCACATCTTTCCCTGTCCAGCCCTCACCCCAGTTCAGCTCTGTGGTGGTGACTCACTAACCCTGCCATCTGGCAGGGTAAATCCACGCAGGAAAACACAGGGCCTCTTTGCACCTCACCAATTACCTCAGCTAGGCAGACTAGCCTCTCTAAAGGACAGCTTATCTGATCTCAAAATGGAAACCTCCCGAAAGTGACGTGAAAGAAAAACAACCATGTCATCCAGGATAAGACAGAGTAAAAGGAGGGGCTCTCCCATACGTACCCTAGCTTTACTTCAGAACAAGCCCAAACCCCACTAACAGAAAGGGTAATTCTATTTTGTATTTTTCTGACATGTACATCCCTTTTCTTCATATTCTCAAAGGTCACAATAATTCTAAATTTTCACCTGACACATACGTCATGCAGTGTGACAGGTACTCAATACTCCAAATAGACGAGCCTGGAGTGTAACGGGCAAAGAAATGGCTGCACCTCAGTAGCTCTGCACTGTTTAGCAGACCAGCTGCTTTATTCGAAACTGTGCATACCCCAGATGCAGGTGTATATGGGAGAGCAAAGCCAGTGAGTACCAGCACTTGAATTTTTATCATTATAGTTTGCTTGTTTACTCTCTCTCTTTCTTTTTAAAATTTGGAAGCAAGGTCTCACTTCCAGATCAGGCTACCCTTGAACTTGTTTGTGGCAATTCTTCTGCCTCAGCCTGTCAAATGCTGGAATGTATTAGTTAGGATTAATATTGCTGTAATAAAACACCATGACCAAAAGCAACTTGGGGACGAAAGGTTTTTGTTTTTTTTGTTGTTGTTGTTGTTTTTCACATATATCTCTGGGTAGTAGTCCATCACTGCAGAAAGTTAGGGCAGGAGCTGATGCAGAAGCCACTGAAGGGTTCTGTTTACTGGCTTGCTTACTCTGCTCACTTATAGAACCCACAATGGGCTAGACCCTCCTACATCAATCACTATTTTTTTTCTAAAAAAACAACAACACCACAAAACAAACAAACAACAAAAAAAAAAAAAAACAAGCAAACAAAGCTGAATTAAGTGCTCCACTTAGTAGGCATGGTACTGTAGATTCAATATCCCCAGTCACCATGGAGGGAGAGACGAAGAAAGGAGGAAGCCAAAAGCTGACTGAGCTGGGTATAAAACCAGAATCAACATTTTAAATGATCCCACAATAAATATTCCTTAGTGTTAAATGGAATGCTAGAAAAATCTCAACCTTTGCCTTTTGTTCTGATAAGAAACTACTAGATTTATCACTCACTCATTCATTCATTCATTCATTCACTTATTTATTTATTTATTTATTTATTTATTTATTTATTTATTTATTTATATTTATGGTTTTGCTTTGTTTTCTGAGACAGGGTTTCTCTGTGTAGCCCTGGAAATTATAAGCTGCCGAGAGGTACCGGATATACATGCTGGGAACTTGGAACTTCTGGAAAAGCAAGATCCACTAAGCCATCTCTCCAGCCCCCAAATTGGTTTTTCGGAAGTCTCCAAGCAGTAAATGAACATTATATATATTTATGTAAATATACACACACATACTTCGCAGCACTCAGGCAGAGGCAGATGAATCTGTGAGTTCAAGGCCAACCTGGTCTACAAAGCAAGTCCAGGATAGCCAAGGCTACTCAGAGAAACCCTGTCTCGAAAAACAAAAAACAAACAAAAACAAAAACGCTAAAGCTTGAAAATCTTTAATAGTATCATTCCCATTATTCTCACATAGAAAATGTCTTAGCAATGTGTAACCATCATCAGAAAATTTCAAAAAATAAAATAGGAAACAAATTAAGGAAGTCAATACAGGAAGATCTCTATTTCTATTTCTTTGGTTTTCCTTTTCTCAGTTCTTACCTAAGGACCAAGGAATAATCCTGCTTGGTCTTGGTGAGACCAAATGGCATCTATCCCAGCTTCAGAGAGTAGACACTATGGTAACATG